AAACCAGGGCAAGCTGCTGGCTTTGCCATCTTACCTCAGAGTGGTCCGTTTTAAAGGGATTGCGGTAATCAGGCGATTTCTCACTGATTCCCAGCTCCTGAGCCATCTGCAGAGCAAAGCAGAGACCGCGTCGGAGAGCAGTGCCTCCCACCCACATCCCCCCTGCAACCAGGGTCCCCTCCTCCCCACCAGCCCCCTCTACACTCTTCCCCTATCCCTCAGCCCAAGGACAACACTCACACATGGGGTATGCCCCCCCTTCCCTCCTTTTACCCCAAAAACCTCATCCCAAGCCCCAGCAGCAGAGAAGGGACAGGGTGGGGGGGACAGGGGGAACCAGGAGCCGTACCAGCCCCAGGACCTGGGAGTGGGGTCCCTGCTCAAACACGCCCGTCAGGTTGCAGAAGCCAATGCCCCAGCGGATGAGGCTGTTCCAGTTGGAGTTGCGGTCAAAGTAGTGGTGCACGATCTTGGGGAAGCGCAGGACGACATCTCCGAAGAAGGCAGTGTTCTCCACCACATGGGAGTACGCTGTGGGGACAGCCATCAGCCCCATTCGCACACACGTTCCATTCCACTAGCACCTACATCCCCACCAGGAGGTGGGGAGGCTGAGGGCAAACTGGAAGGCTCCCCAGTATGAACTGGTCAGAGGCAGAAATAGGGTCTCTGACAGACAAGGCATCAGTCCAGGTCTGGTCTGGGTACAGAAGGGTTTTGTACCTACCCTGGCACCAGGCCCAGGAGGAATGTTGGCGATGCACCAGAGTACTAGAAAAGGGAGGGGGATAAGGACCAGAGAGGACCTACCATCCTTTATCTTCTCGTCCTGAGGGAAAGGCCCGTCAGGAGGCACATCAGCAGCGATGAGCACAGCCCGGGAGTCCTCCAGCACCTGCCAGAGCCCTTGGTTACTGGCCCATCCTGCTGACCCTTCCCTGTACCCAGCCGCTCTGCTTTGCCACTCCACAGCATCCTCCCTTCAGGTCCTACAACCCACCTGCCCACCCAGCTCTTCTCTTTGACCTCTTGGCCCTCCCTGCTTCTGCCCACCCTCCTCAGACCCATGGCACACCAAGCTGGCCCGTGCTATGGCTCACTTTGAAGAGTCCCTTAAGCATGATGTCAATGATCTTGTACTGCTGGTTGACATCATTGAGTTCGATCAGGTTCTTCAGTGCGTTCATCTGGTCCTTGCGCTTCACCTCAAACAGCTTCTTATCTGCACTGCCATCAAGGGTACCACCAGCATGCTCCTACCATGCTCCCACTCTCTCCCTCCACCAGCCATCCCACACTATCCCTGTCCCCTCAGTTCTCCACAGGGTGCCTGAGGGCTGGGTGGGAGTGTCTAAACCAGGATGAAATGTGGGTTTCCAAACCAGACTTTGCCCAGACACCCCAGCAGGGCACTTAACAATGCTGGGCACTCATGGAGAGCTTTCTACTTGCCAGCCCCTGCTCCGGCTGACGGGCTGGAGGATGAAAGTGAACTCCCACCTTCCTCATACGTGTCTCCACGAGTACATGTATTAAATATCTTTTCATAATTTGCCTCTTTGCCAGGGGATGCTGCTGTGTGCTGGGAAGGGCCTGCATTAGCCCTTCCTAGCACACAATAAACACCCATGACGCAGACTGAGTGCTGCAAGCCCAGGAGCCCTCTCCCATGATCCCAGCTGGTAACCCCAAAGCACCAAGACCCGCAGGCATGCTCTGCCATCTGGCTGGCCATGCCACTCCTGAGAGTGGACCTGATACATGCTTGGCACCCAGCATGCTGGAGCAGAAAGGAAAAGTGCCATGCTTGGGAGAACACTAGACACCACCAGAAAACCCACCTCTGCTCCTGCACCGAGCTGGGCACCTGGTTAGCAAACCCAGGAGCTCAGCTAAAGCCCTTCTACAAGAGAACAAAGAGATAACTGCCCAGTGGTTCTGGGTCTTCTCTCTTCAACCCTCCTGTGACTCTTTCTGTGGTCTCTGACCCTTTCCCTGCATGTGAGCTCCCTCCAGCCTCAGCAGGCGCGAGGATGTACGCAAGGCATGAGAGGCAGGCCACAAAGGATACAGATTTCCAAGCCAGAGTCCACCCTCTGTTTTTCCAGGTCTGCAAAGCTACCCGGGGACAGCAGCAGAGCCAGCAGAAAGTGGCAGATGAAGAGAAAATCCATGTCGGCCACCACAGCCTGGAACAAAATGGACCAACAAAACCAATGACCATTGAGGAGGCTTACCAAAGACAGAAGTCACATGAGCCTCTCAAGACTGAGGGGCACATCGTCCTCGGCACCAAGGTTCTTGCCTGTGCCTCCCTTGTCCCCACAAGGGGTGTGAAGGAGACAGTTGTCAGAACAGGGCCATCGGGTGATGCTGCAGCCAGCCCACTCTCCCCTGTGAGGAAAACCCTGCTCTCCCCCTCCCCTCTACCTGTCTCCACTGCTGGCTGGGCACCAGCTGGGCCCCAGCTGGGCACCCAGGGATCTGTCTGAGCACTGACCCAGCAAAAAAATTAAGTCCTACCCCTTTTCCCGAAAATAACAGCCAGCATTTTGCTGGGTTTGCATGTTAGAGCAGCCCAGCAACCTAAGCAGCAGGGCCGAAGGGAGAAGAAGGTGGATTGCTGAAAGGCTGAAGTCTACCTCTTCTTCAAGCACCAGGCTTGACCATCTCACTTCACCTCTTGGGATGCTGGTACCTGGGCACTTCCCTTCTTTACAAGCTGGGTACCAGCTGTGAGCCACATATCAAAAAGAAGCAGTTGGGTGACCTGGTGGTAACTTCTCCCTTGCCACAAGCACATCCTTCCCCAGGTGGAGCCTGAGACTCCGCAGGAATGTGGTTGAGCAGAGCTGCTCCAGGCCACGAGGATCCCTCAGACAGAGTCAAGGTGCAGAAGAGAGGCTAGAACAAGGACCCCGGCCCCTGAGCAGCATAGACCTCAAAAAGGAGAGCATTACCTCAGACTCAAGACAGCAGGATACGAGGCAGCCTGTCCACAGGGAGGAGGTTTCTGCAGAGCCAAGCAGCAGCCACCAGAAATTACAGAAGCAGCAGCAGCTCCTTCAAAGACATTCCCTGAGCCACCTCTTGCTTCCAAACTGTCCTTGTGCTGCCACCCTGCTCCCCTCCTGAGCCTGAGTTCACCTGCTTGGCTGAGTCTCTCTGTGATGTCCTAGCACTGGAACAGAAACAAATCCCTTCTTCACACCAAAGCTAGGTTTTTTTTTCTTGGATTTTTTTTTTTTTTTTACAAATACAATTTGTTCAACCTCGGGTCCATGAACAGGACAGAGCAGGCAGCACCAGCAGCTCTCCCAGCCCCGTGAGGAGGAGGAGCAGCAGCTCCCGCTCCCACCATGCACCTCCTGCCGCCAAGGCTGAGCCCAGCACCCTCACACCCCCAGCATAGGCACGGAAACAGCGCCAGGCAAACACAAGAAACCTTCTGCATTATCTTGTTGTTGTGCTTTGCAGAAGGCAGTGCCCCTGGAAGGGAACGAATGAGAGTAATGACAACCAACATTACAGAGGAAGACATGGCTGCCCCCAGTGTGGACTCAGCATCAGGTTTCGGACACAATGCAAAGCCAGGACAGCAGTACGAGCCTCCCACACCAGGCACAGGGTCTGCCCCCTCTGTCCACTGTGGTGTGAGGCTTAAGGCATATTCCAGTCACCCTGAAAGCTGCAAAGCACACCGACATGCTGAGGATGTAAGGAGAAATTCTCCAGATCGGGCAAGCAGATGCTCTGCTGGACCCACCAGCCTGATCGGCTTCCAAGAGACTTCACCCTGCCAAAAAACATGACCCAAAGACCTGAGGCCTGGCTCAGCAAACAGGTGTAGGTCCCCCCACTGCAGAGCCCGCCACAGCCGCTCGCTTCCTCCCCAACTCTTGGGGAGGAGGAAGAACAGCAACTCAAAAGCAAACTGTGACTGCCCTGGGACCCAGGCTCCTGTTTGCCACTCGGATGGGACACACGGCTGTAAGGACCAGGCTACCTATTTGCCATGCTCATGGAGAATCAGAGAGAGACCTTGGAGGCAGCTGGTGGCCTCCAGACCAGGCTGAAAGGCAAACAGTAGAAATGCTGCCGCAAGAGCTCCACCATGCTGCCCACAGCAGTCCCAGCATGCCCTGTCAGGGCAGGGGCTCCCACATCCCCCACTTCTGAGACAGGACCCAGGTGGCTGGGGCATGCCCTGTAGCTGCTCTGAGGAAGATGCTGAGCTGCAAAAAAACCTGCTCAGGTGGCAGCAGAGCAAAACACGGCTCTCAGCGAAAGCAGTTGCCAGCCAGCCGGTTGCTGCAGCAGAAAGCTCACCAGCCTGCCTGGCTGCCCCCAAGTCTCGGAATAAAGATGGGCTTTTCCAGAGACACAACAGCAGATGCTGTGGTATAGATGGTTAGTGTTTTCAATGAAAATGGTTTTAATGACTTTACAAATACTCCTGCAGCAGCCCTACAGATTATGCCATACGACAAGGTCATAAAAAGAGGACTGGAGAACAATGCCATACCAGAAGCCCATCACCTTTTCATCTGACCCCTTCCTTGCTGACACTCATTCCCACATCGAAGCTACTTACCGCTGTTGTCCATCAGGGCTGAAACACCCCAGTGAAAATGAAAAAGGAGCTAGTTGTTGCCCTTGCCCATAGGGAAAGTGGGGCTGCTGGTGCCACGTGGGACCAGCTTGCACTTATTTCCCTTCACTGTCCTGGCCTTTTCACCCCATCTTAATAGCAGAGGACATTTCCTCCTCTCCAGGCTGGACTGTGTAAGCGCAGGGATGACAAAGCTTCTTGCAGATGTTCCTCCATGCTTTCCCCATGAAACCTCCCTTGTGTCTTCACACCTGCTGAGGAACGAGATGAGACAGAAACACCGCAGAGCTGCTCCTCTCTTTGCTCCCTGCTCCTCGGTGCTCCTAGAGCAGTCTGGGGAGCCAGGGCCTGGCCTGATGCTGCAGATGGGAAGGAGTTTCCACCAATATTTCCTCACAGCCCTGGCCAGCTGGTTGCTTCAGCAGAAAGCCCACCAGTCTGTCTGGCTGTCTCCCATCCTCTTAATTTAGACATGTTTTTCCAAACGCATGACAACAGATGCTATGTTATAGATGGTTAGTACTTCCCATTAAAACATTTTTAATGACTTTATAAATTCTCCTGCAGGAGCCCCATCTGAATTGAGCTTCCCAGGATTTATTCACTTAATGAGCTGGCAAGGCAGAGCCACGCTACCACACTTCGGTTCTCAGGAGGGACTTTCACAGGACTTCCTTCCCCTCCACAAGGCACTGAAACACAGGGGGGAAAGCTTGCCCCAGGAGCACACCGTGGCAAAACAAGGAATGAAAACTCTCTGTCCCATGAATACATCCCGAGCCACTCCTCCAACAACCAGATGAGGATTAATCTCTTGTCACAGCTGAACCAAAAGCTTCAGAAGTGAAACCCGGGCTGCTCAGACTTCTGCTAGAACATTTCTATAAAGGGCTCACAGGATCAGCTGCTTCAATGAGACAACAACGGCCGTTTACATCTGCTTGCCTCCAAAGTCCCTTAACCACCAGAACCAAAGTTCCCGGACCATGGCGACAGCCACCAGGCAGGGTTAGGTAGCCCTGACCAAAACCAGCGAGCTGCTGTGATTCCCACCAGGGACGAGTCCGTCCCGGCCCCCCTCCGTCCCTCTCGTCCTGCTGGGGGGGTCGGCGGCACCCCGAGGGGCTGGGGCGGCCGCGGGCACGGGGAGACGGGGATTCTCTTTCAAGCACTACTGAAAGTAAAGGCAATCGCAGGGGGACAGAGGCGTGGAAAGCGGGTTAGCGAGACTACCCCGCTGGGAAACCCACCCAGAGCCGTGTCAAGCGGACGCCGCAGGCAGCACGCGAGGGGATGAAAACCCACGGGCGGGAGGGCTGCCTCCCGTGCTGCCGGCGGGCGGCTCCTCACCCAGCTCCGACACGGGGCTCCGGCAAGGGCGAGAAGGAGGAGCGGGAGGAAGGAAAGCCGGCGGCGATGGCAGAGCCCTTCGGGCAAGGGTAAAGCCGTTTAGCCAAAGGTCCAGCGAGGCACCCGCGGGGCCGCACTGCCCCCCCCCGCTCACCGGCCACACCGGCTCCACGGGCGGGCTTCCCTCCCTCCCGGGTCTCGCTCCGGCAGCGGCCACCCCCGTCCTGCCTCCGTATCCACCCTCCCCTCCTGCCCCGCCACGGCCGGGCGGTC